CCTACAAGCAACACTGCACTAAGAGCTGTGTTACCCTGCTGTAATTATCCTTGCCCAGGACAGGGTTTGGCTTCTTAGTGAGGATGATGAGCCCAAGCAGCACTTTGCAGCTGGGAACACCCAGCATCAGCCTCAGTGCAGAGCTGCACACTGCAAGAAGAGCCCCCAGCACCTGGGGCCTGCAGCCAGAGGCCTTTCACCTTCCCTCTCCTCCACAAGAAGGAAAATGATTTCTCAGGGAGGCATGTGATACCACAGCAAAGGCAGCAGCTGGGAGCCAAGCAGCCAGCCGTGCTTTATTGCTTTCACCAGCACTTATCCAGCCTGTCCTCACCTGCCTTTCATTGCAGGCACTGACCAGTCCCAGCAGCTCCCTAATAATGCACAGCTCCCACCAGAACCACGGGCACCAGTTGTTTTCCCTACAGGATTCACGTGGTTGTTGCTGAGTCCATCACCTTTAGGTATGCTGATTCCCAGCCTAAAGGCACTGGAAACACACAGATGAAAATTAAGAGCCCTTCCAGGCTCCTGAGCCTTTTTGCTGGTGCTTTTTGCACAACAGATGCTAAGGAACAAACCATAACTCAGTTCCCCTACCTGCTGTATCCCATTTGTTCATCCAGCCCTGCTTGGACAGGAAGATGAACACCCAGGCAACTGAGATCCCAAGATCAGAAGCTCCAGGAATCCACAGCCCAGGTTCCACAGGGCAAAAAGCCAGAGCTTGCCTGGAAAGGCAGCCACAATGCTCACAGCCCATACCCAAGAGGTTGGTGTGCACTTCCCTTTGGCTTGCCTCCATATCTGCATACTGCACACAGTGCCCATCAGCTCCAGCTGCTGCTTGGAGCCACAAGTAACCACACAAAACAGGGCAAGACCATGAAAGCAGATCTGCAGCAGAGGCCAGTGCTCCTGAAAAAGCACCACTTGCCTCCTCCTTTTGGAAGGGTTTGAACACATCTATTGTAGGCACTGTGATTAGAGAGCAGGAAGAGCTGGCAGGATCCTGGGAGCCAAAACCTTTGTGTGCTCCAAAACGAGCTGCCAGGCAGGGGTCAGAGCAGGCCAGCAAACCCAGGGGGCCCAACCAGGAAGGGAGAGAGAGAGACCAGAAGCCAAACCAAGGTGGAAAAAAAAAAAAGAGGAATCATCTTTATTTGTGAAGCATGTTAACAGATGGATCAGCTCAGTGCTACCCAGCAAGAAAGAATCCTCCGAGCATCACCTGCTCTCAGACTCCTTTGTCACACCATGCAAACCCCCTCCCCCAGCACCACAGCCCCAGCATCTGCTTGCTCCAGTGTAGCAACTTGAGATACCAGCAGCCCCCCATTAAATGAGTTATTGCTACTCATGCTCAGCCAATGCCCAGCTCTAATGCTGCCTCCTGGTTGCCTGCTTGACTGTAATCACCCAGAGCATCCCTGGGGGAGCTGGCCAGGAAGCCTGGCAATTACAAGACATGCAAGCTGCTCCCATGCAGCTGCGCTCTTTGCACTGGGAAAGATCCAGAATTACCTTTCTAAGCCCATTGGGAGATCAGGTCATCTCCACAGGTTGCTACAGCAGTTTCTTCCTGACCTGCCCCCAGGACAGACCTGCAGCACACAGGGAGCTGTGACAGTTGCTGCTCCCCACACACAGAGGCATTTCAAAGTAATCCTACCCATCACACACACGCAGCTCTTCCCAAAGGTGAGAAAGAAAGCATCACCCCACCTACCCCCCTCCGTATCAACATGAAGAAATACATCTACGACAGTGACCCAGACTATCAGAAAAAAAGAAAAAAAAAAAAAAGGATTTACGCTCACAGGTAGGAAAAAAAAAACCCTCCCACAGCTCTCTTTTATTCTTTTCTTTAAAAAAAAAAAATAATGTGTGTTTTAGATTCTACAACTTAATTTCCTGTCGAAAGTGAAGTAACTGAATCGCAAGGACGCGCTAAGTATTTCCTGGTGCTATTTTACAAAAAAAAAAAAAATAATAAAAATTAGAAGAAAACAATGTCCAGACAAGTTCTTCAGCTACACGTCACCTGGCACAAGAGAAAGAAAAGGCAATTAGAGAACCCAATGAGGCTGTGCTGGGGGGTGATGAAGCAGAAAGGACGACAGCTGCCTTAAGCAAAGCTGTGAGCTCAACCCACACAATTGGAGCAATCAGACAGCCCTGACCCTCCCATGCTCTACAGCCCAATGCTTTCTTCCATGTCTCTCCCACTGTTCCAGCAGCTTTAGCAGTTTCTTATCAGATTCCTGCTGGCCTGTGCCTGAACTTCATAGCAATGCCTCCCTTCCCCTCCCCTCCAAACAGCGCATGGGCAAAAGCTCTTCTTGATGAAGGACCCCAGCTGGACGGTGCCCTGTAGCCAGCAGGATGAGCCCATGGCTGCAGGGAGTGAAGAACTGACCCAGCAGGTCCCCAGGGTGCCCTGACCCAGCAGGTGACATCAGGTGCAGCACTGACCTCTGACTCAGTTAGCGTTTCTCTGGCGGACGTTCTTGTCCTTGTGGTTCGTGGCATTGCTTTTCCTGCAGAGAGAAAAGGCACGATGAAGAAAGCAGCACCAAAGCCCACCTCTACCCCACTCGCTGGTGTGATTCGTGCCCAAAGAGTTGGGTAAGATAGAGCAAGAGGAGGTTAGCTTCCAGAACAGTCAGTTTTGGAGACTTTTGTGCTGTTCTAAGTAGTGTTCTGCTTATAGAGAGGCCACATTAAAAAAACATGGAGGAAACATCTCCCAGGAAGCAGCCAGCTTTCACGTTCTGCTAGCTCTTATGTTCAGAGCAGATTCCCCAAATGAATGCAATCTGGCAATGCAAACTGAGTCAACAGAAAAACCAAGGCACTTACAGTGGTGCAGAGCCTCCATCATCATCTTCACATCCAGGACAGCACAGGAAAAAAGAAAGAAAGAAAGAAAGAGTTGTGTCAGGGAAGAACAAACATGAAATCACCTCTGGCTCTTCCACTCCTTTGAACCCCAGGGCTGAGCAACCCAGGTGGGTTACTGGACACACTGGGTATCACAGCACTGAACCCACACGGTCATTTCACCAGGGCCTGGGAGAGCAGGGAGGGCTTATCACAACACCACACCCTTGTGTGAGCTTTAAGCTGCTTCTTGCCTGAGCTCAGACATGGAGCAAGCTTAGACATGAGCTCCTGTTATGCAGGAGGCTTCAGGAACAAGGCTTTAAGCATCAATAAGCCCTCGTCCTCCCCACACACACTGTGAAATCAAAACAGATACACTGCACAGCACGTTGTTGCTACGTGGAGAAACTCAGCTAAGAAGACACCAAGTCCTTTCACCAGCTCCTTGCAATCTGCCACTTCCCCTGAAGGCTCCATCATCTCTGCAGCAGAACAGCAGTGCTCTGAGCACTGGGGCTGCCTTGGTCCCAAGATCTGCACACAGCTGGTGAGAGGATGATGCAGGAGCACAGCTGGAGCCATCTCCCAGTTCTTACCAGTCAAGTTAGCATCCAGCAGCGGAGGAGGAAAGAGTGGAAAGGTAACACCAGCAAGATTGTGCCATATACAAGTTAGACTCTTCCCACTCTAGCCAATAGGGAATTGCCAGCCCACAACCACATGCTTGGGGAACAGCATTTATCCGAGCTGGCCCAGCACTCCCTTCCTGCCAGCTCCTCTCAAGAGGGTCAAATCTATGAAGACTTTGGGAGAACACAGCTTTACGTTGCCCTGCTGTCACATACAGAGCTGTTTCTTCGCCCACAAGCTCAGGTTCCCAAGTGCTGAAGATCTCTGGCTGATGAGCCAGAGGGTGGGAGGGTATCAGGACCTTTCAGCATCACACGTCCTGTCTTCATCTGTTAAAGGATCCCCTACGGCTCTGACTGATCAGCACTCAACAGGACCTGGGCCCAGTTGACGTCAGCAGAAGCCAAATCATTCTGTGAACCAGTTACAGCTCTTTTTTTTTTCTTGCTAAGAGACACAGCTACACACGAGACATCTGCCATCCAACCAGGGCTGTCAGAGGGAATGGATTCACTCATAAAACTGCCTTGAGTAGAATTTCTGAAGCCCTGCAATCAGAGGAGGAACATTCAGTTCTAGTCCTTCTGCTTCCCCTTCGTAGCACTCAGTGCACCTGATGTGTGCTGCTCCCCAGCAAAGGGCTGAAGCGACTGACCTAGCAAGCAGGAAGGATACCAAGCATCTGTACTTCATTGTTAATGGGATCAGATAAGGAAGGCAAAGCTGGTTAACACAATGAAGATTCCTACTGATAAGGAAAGGGAGGAACCGTGTTTTCTGAACAGATTAAAGATAACACTATGCATGGAGGAAGTCCCCAGGAGTCAGGATGTGTGAATCTGAGAGCCCAAAACAGATCCATGAACTGGTATTAATAGAACCACTGACAACACAGCCTGCTGTTTACTAATTGGCTTCTCCAGAATGTTAATGGTCAGAGAAAGCCCCGTCCTCCAGACACCCACATGAAGAAGCAGCTGAACGAAGTGCAGAGGCATTGGTGAGACAAAGGGTCAGCGCAACCTGCACCCACTTTTCTCTCACTCCTGAGCCAAAGCACAGCTTGCTGAAGGACTGTCACTACAGTGCAATTACTTGAGACTAAAATAACTGGGTAAAGGCTACCGTGCTTAGACAAGAAGCATTCCTGAAAGGCAGCCTCACACGGAATGCCTGTCTGACAAAGCACAGCCAGAGCTCTCCATGAGAACGACTTGCCTCCACCCCACAAGCTACTTCCCCCAGGAAGATTCGACCTCAGCCACCTCTTACCATCAAGAACCTCATCTGGCTTCCTCCTCTTCTCGTAGATGAAGATGATGGTGACGAGAACCAGAACTTCTGCCACGATTCCCAGGAAGGGCCAAAGAGCTGCCAGGCGGCTGCGGACGCGCAGATTCACCGTAGCACTTCCAGGGCCCAACATGTTGGTACCATTGCAGTGGTAGTCACCTGTATCTTGCTCAATGCTCAGTTTGAGGATGCGTAGCTCTGTCTTGTTGCCATTGGACTTGATGATGTAGCGATCAGTACCATTGACAACGGGCTTGGAGGGGGGAAAAGAGAGCATCAGGGCTGGGACAAGGGGAGCTGAGTGGGCAAAGAGAGCATCAGGACTGGGATAAGGGGAGCTGAGGGGGGAAAGAGAGCATCAGGGCTGGGACAAGGGGAGCTGAGGGGGGAAAGAGAGCATCGGGGCTGGGACAAGGGGAGCTGAGGGGGGAAAGAGAGCATCAGGGCTGGGACAAGGGGAGCTGCTCGCTCACCATGCAGTGCTATCATTACAGAAATCCTCCTTGCCACAGCACTGAGCATAAAGGATACTCTGATATTGCTAATTCTGACCCTCTGCCTTCCTATTGGTGAGCAGAAGGGGGCTGGGGAGGGGGGCAACAAACCACAGCACTTACTGTTTGATCACTTCTGAACCAGAACCAGTTGCCAACAGGGGGGTAGGAGAGACTCTTGCAGGTCAGCACACCTGTGTCCCCCTCGTTCCCATGCTCAGACTTCTTGTATGCTACAACTTGGGGTTGAACTGCAGCAAGACAAAAAGAAATGAGACACCTCCCTGCAAACGACCTGCACTCCTTGCAGCCCACCTAGCCAGCATCAAAGTCTGATCACTCATAAGGCTTCCCTTCAGTTTAAGAAGCTCATTGCTGGGTCCTGACCCCATCGTTTGCCCAACATCTGACATTTTCAAAGAGGAAAGCACATCAAGCTGCTTCAGGAAAGGCTCAGATAGGTTGGACCAGTAGGTGCCATCCCTTCTATCACTGTTGTGGGAACACAGACACTGGTTACAGCAAAGGCTTCAGGCTGACCCTACAGATGCTTCAGCTGCTTCATAAAATGGAAGACGTCTCCTAGGGCATCTGGTAATTCACAGGTAGACACTGAAGCCATACTGGTAAAGATCAGAAGCAGTTTTTCACGAAGCTGAAAAGCTACCAAAAGGAAGAGGTTCAGGAGAGCACAGCTTCCCCACTCCCCTCCTCAGCCACAGAAGCAAACTGACCACATTACCTTCTATAGACACGTTTCCTTTTGCCACTGGGTTTGTTTCATAGATGCATTCATAGACACCAGAGTGTTCTTCAACCTTCCCCTCGATCCTATCAAAGAAAAAATCAACCAACAACCCCAAACAGGTCACCCTATGAGCCATCACCCTGCTGGTGAACAAATCAGCAGAGCAATTTCCAATGTACAGAAGCAGAAACTGCCTCTGTAGGCAGTTTCTCCCATCCCAGCTGCATAGTTTATGCAGCATCGTGCACCCACTGCAGCCCTGCTCCCTGCCCTTCCCTCTCCTGCAAAACTGCTGCTGTGAGATTTAGTGGATTATGCTGACTGCAACAAACCCCTCATTCTGCAGCTCCCTAATACCCAGCGCTCCAGGGAAAGAGCCAGCAAAGTTTCAGTCCACGGCTGCAATGGGACAACGAACTGTTTGTTAGCTCTGCTGCACACCGAGCTTCCCACTTCCAAAAACCACTCAGCTAAGGAATTGAGGTCACACGAGGGAGGCTGGGTTATAAATACTTTAATCCTTGTTCAGCTCCCTGTTGCTATGGGGAGACAGGCACGTCGGCACTGCCATACAAAAGGACATGATGCCTCTACAGCTGCTGGGTCAGTGCCAGCCAGGCCTGACTGTAATCAGAAAGGAAAGCTCACTGCTCTGCCACAATAAGGCCACTATTCCCACATCTGCTCAGCCACAACCTGCAAACGCTTTGCTATCAGGCAACTCCGTTGCTTGCACTGCAAGAGCAGAGCGATGCACATCAAAGCATCATGCAGAGAACACTAGAGTGTGCTGTTCCACATGGCCTTAGAGCCTAAAAGACTCTTTTTTTTGCAAGGCTGCAAGCTTTAGCAAAAAGCTAAAGCTGGGTTAGGGAAGCACCAAGTGTCTCCAGCTTAAAATGCAACTGTTGTGTAGAGATCCTTCTCTGCCCTTGCTCCTGACACTTACGTGTAAGTGATGAAAGAGTCTGAATTGCCTTCCTCTGCCTTGAGTGTCTTGTCTCCCAGCATCCATTTGTGGCCCCTGATGGGGGCGTGAGGTGCACTCATGTTACAGCTGAGGACCACCTTGTCAGCAGAGCTGGCGTACTGCCCCGTGATCACCGGACCTATTTGGGAACAAATCCAGAGAAGTGAACATCTGCTATTTGTGAGGTCAAGCACCTGCCCAAGAAACTCGAATGTGAATAAGAACACGGCTCCTTGCTTCCATCACTTACCTGGGCATCAGTTTCTCACTAGGCCTGACGGATGTTTTCAACACAGGAGACTTACAGTCCAACATGAGTGCCCCCAGGGGTGCTGAGCTACAGCTGCTCCCAGTGGGGCAGAGCTGCTGCTGTGCACTCCAGGCTGTTGGGAACCTCCTGCTCTATGGGTGCAGCTCCCAGAGAGCTGAGAGCTCCACGAAGGGTTGGAAGAAGCCCTGCTGGGAACAGCAGCACAGCTTTCTGCTTTCAGAGGCTGCCTGCTGAGCGCCAGCACCTCCCACAGCCTGAGCAGATCTATATGCCTGCAGGCAGCGTAACCTATGGCAGCCAAAGCCCTCTTTGGGAGGGGGTAATAAAGAAGCCCTTATGCAAGCTGTGCGTGCATCGGCTGATGCAACCCAAAAAAGTTGCAGTGAGATTTTCCTCGAGGGAAAAAAACAACGCACAGAACCACGACTCCAAAAGTTCCTGGAGCCCCATGTGCCAAGAAGCAGTAAATTATGCAGTACAAGATGACTCAGACCTTGCTCCTCAAAGGAGGCACTCCAACAGCTGCCATTAGCAGAACCATTACACGGCCCCTATGGCACTATGTTTCCTACCCTTGTACCCAGCCTTATCTCCAAGAAAGATGGATTTCTGCACAGGGCTAACAGGCATTTTGGCTTTCTGTCTCCTCACTTTCCCCTAGAAGAAGGTTCTGCTGGAGTTTTCCATCACTTGTGCCGGAGAGAACACGATTTTGCTTTGTGATAAAACCACAGCAGGACGTTAGATCCTCCCTTAGGTTTCTGTTAGTCAGAAATCAGCAGCCTGTTGGCTCTGGAAGCAGAGGGAACCGCTCACATCCAGAGCACAAGCAGCTTCCCCACACTCAGCGTCGCACACAGACACGGCCATTTCAAAAACGGTTGCACCACCAGCAACTAAAAGCAGATTTTTTGATCCCCACAGCTTGAATCACTAAGCAGGAAAGCGAGCTTAAAGCAAGGCTGTTGAGAGGAGCAGAGGCTGCACCAGGTGCAGGGAAGGGCTGGTTTGTCAGTGGTGGTTAGGGCAGAATCTAACGGAACTAAGGCTCTGCAAGCCAGCACTGGGGCACAGAGGCACTCGGGGACAAGCAGAACAGTCCAGGTCTTTGGATCCACAAAAAGACACAGGATGGTGTTTTGGTTGGGAAGTCACAACCCTTTTTGAGCAGGGCCAGTTGAGGTCAAGCCAGAGGTGGTGGAGGAGATGACAGAAGGGGGGAAGGGAGGGATTTGGGGGATGAAGGGGGGAAGTCTCTTGGTTCTACAGCCGGGGTGAGAAGGTGAGGGGGACTTTCGGGAGCCACGGGTGCAAGGGTGAGCATGGCAGGAGACTCAAGACACCGGTGTCCGAGCAAGTGTCAAGGCCTCAGGACGGCCACTCACGTTCGATGACCAGAACGTTGGCCTGTGAACGGATCCACTTGACTTTAGGGCTCTTCGACAAGTGATTGCGATCAGGGTCGTTGCTTGCCCTGCACTCATAAGTGCCCGAGTCGTCGCTGGTGAGGTTTGCGATGTAGATGGTGCTGGTGGAATGCAGGTTGTAGGTGGCGTTGATTTTGACCCGGTCCTGCCACGCGCCATCCCAAAGCTGAGCAGAGGTCTCATTAGGCTCGTTACCCTCAAACCACCACTGGATTTCAGGGATGGGATTGCCAACGGCCTCGCAGTGCAACTCGACGCTGTCCTGAGTCAGTCTCCTTTGAGACAGTGGTGACTTTATAAAACCAGCTACGAGTTGAAGAGGTATTAGTGCAAAGTGTTAGTGCAAAGCAAGAATCCACCTGCCACAAGCAAAAACTCAGCCGTTGAGATGAGGCTGCAAATAATCCTCAGGTCAGCGCCTGCCTTCTCTCCCTCCCCTTAACCTATGGCTCTCAGTTTGAGCTGTTCCACCACCAGCCAGATTTCCTATTGCAAAGCCACAGCTTGCAGGAGAGAGTGCAGTGCTCCCAGCTATGCAAACAGGAATGCTTCCTGCAAGGGAATTGTCTGCATCTCATTGCAGTGAGGTGTCCTCCGGGCTTGGGAGAGCAATAAGGCCACGCACACTGCATGCACAGAGCCAGCCCTGCCTCCCAGCAGCATGAAAAGCACTTCCCTGCACACACCTCTATGGCTACGCTGAGCATCTGAGCATGGCTCCTTGCTGTAACAACACCAACAGGGGTATCTGAAGTATTTCTCCCACCTTACAAGTCCTGCTCCAACCTCCCCTAGCTGAGAATATTACGAGCCGTGCTGATTTCACACTGTGCAGAGGCATTTCTCACCCTTCATATCCACTGGCAGACAGCAAGATGAGACTTTTCACCCCAGGCAAGCCAACTTTGCAGAGGTAAATCAGTAATAAACACGTTAAAACCAATCACCTAGAAATATACAGCGTGTTTATTGACTCCAGGGGTCCACATCTGAGAGCAGACAGTCCAAAGGTTGCAGCTAAAGCAATGCAGGGCTCTGACAGCTCAGCTGCCAAACACCTCCAGCAGCTATCAGCCACATCCAGCAGCCCCAGACTGCCCAAATCATCACAGCACGGGGGAGGGAAAAGAGGCCCTGGAGGGTGGGGAGGGCAGGAAGGGTGGCTCAGCCAGCATCACTCCAGGAAAAGGCATTGAGGAGTCAGTGCTACTTACGTGAGAGCCCCAGCGAGGTTCCAGAGGAACTGGGGAGGTTTGCAACACGTATTTCCTGCAGCTGACTGCAGGCTGCTCTTCCCAGAACTGCCAGCAGCAGACGTGCAGAATAAAAGCATCCCCAGGAAATCAGTTGGCTGGTCTTAAGCACTTCCATGTCACGGTTATACAGACGGCTCCACGTGGGTTTTGTAACACGCAGGCATGAGGCAGAGGGGTTTAAGGCTATTTTTTTTTGTTGTTTTTACATGCCTTAGGACATTTCAATGTGCCACCTCATGGCTGGTTTGGGGAGCACAGAAAGCAAGTTGGCATTATGAAACCAAGTTTCCTCAAGACAAACACAAA